GCTGCCTGGAAGGAGACATAGAAAGCGATCGGTTACTCACAGATCATTTAAAAAAAAAATACAAGGATTGTCATATCGCGCGAATACGAGCGTTCACATTTCTAAAACTTAAACTGTGGATTCTGCTGAGGCGTGTGTCTCTGCCTGAAGTGGGAGATGGAGATGATGACGAGCAGGTTCAGAGTCATGGTGAGCAGGGAGATGAAGCAGAGGACGAAGAACTGGGGCAGAGCTTCGGACAAGCGGAGCTTGGGCTTCTTGCAGGAGCCGTTGAGGAGCTGGGGAAAGCACAGGTCAGCTTTGTTGAGGATCTCCATGGTGGCGCAGCTGCAGTCCTCTGATCCCCACGCCGTCGCACAGCTGATTTATCTTTTTTACATCCCTCCCCCTTTTGATATCGGTCCTCCCATATATGACAATCTTTCAGTTTCCCAACCCCTTTTCTTGTATATTTTCTTTTTTTTTTTCAACAAATTAATAAGAACAAGAATTTTAGATGCTTCTGGTTGAAAACTTTTCCGGTTCAGATGATACTTTAGGAAAGGAGCTCCTCCGTCAAGTACATACAAACATAAAAAAAATAATCTGGAAATAAGAGCACAACAGGAGACCATGGAGGTTCCTCTGAAAGCCATTGGATGCCTTTTGAAGCACAGATGTTGTTGAGACCTATCATGTCTGATATTACCTGCTTAAACTTCTTTAAGGCTGACAATTTTCCACATGAATATATCTAAATGCTGAATTCTACAATATGACAATATGAAAAAGTGAATAGGAATGCATGCATTCAATTCTAATTTTCATTGTTGTTGTCCATTCGTTTTAATATGGTCACAATCTTTTTTATGTATGCACATTGCCAGGTTTTTCAGTGAGAGTCTTTAAATGTTAGTCTACACATAAATTCATTTGAAACTAAATTGACTTAAAGATAGTTTGAAAATTTATTTGCATCCTCAATTTAATTCTTTGAAAAACAATTTTACAAAAATAATCACACATGTATTTTTGCCAGCTTGTGTTTTTCTTTTAAATAAAATCCAAAAATTTGATTTCTCCTTTTACACTCACATATCAAAATAGTCTTGAATTATTACTTTCTTTAAACCCCTGTGTTTTTATTACATTGAAAAAAAAGGAAGACTAATCAGCTCACAGCTGCTTTACAGTATGTTGGCCTCACAGGAGCCGGGCTGCAGAATCTGCAGAGTTAAAGTGAGTTTAATGGCCTTTCTGAACCAGGGGTAAAAGAGTACATAGATCAAA